GGTGATGACATATATAAGTGACCAACAGTGGCTGACAGCCACTTGAAGCACTCTGGGAACATGGTCTGATACCCTCACCTGGCCCACTCATGATGTGAGGTCCTGGTCCTRGCCAGGTGCACAGAGATAGGTTGGTGAGTGGACAGGCAGGAGGAGCACTCACCTCCACACAGATGTCACACCTTTTGCAGTGGAWGGTTCRGGGCRGGYGGTGAAAATAACACGTGGGWCAYCACGGCATGTGGCACAACCTGCCATTCACTCGTGCCATGTAGRGAGCCTCAGGGTMCTGCTTGAAGGCGCCTGGCAGGGAAAGAGGTGTGGGCAGTGGAGGAGGCCCTTGTATCACTCTGCTGCTTGTGGCAGCCCCATAACATCACTGGGCAACAAGAAGGTGGGGAGKAGATGGGCAGGGGAATCCTGGTCCATGTTGAGCAAGCTGTCCACTCAGATGGGCAGCAATCAAAGAGAAGGGGCTGTCCAGCCTCAAGAGCTCTATATGGAGCTCCCCACTTTGGAATTGTGATCAGTGTTTGGAGTCGTGTGTGAAATGGGAAGGAGGAGGAATTAATTGTGGTTTGGAAGAGCCTGTTGGCCTCTCATGCCAGCCTACCCCATCCTTCCTTCTAAAAAACCTCCAAGATTCTGTTTTTTCACACTTCAGTGGCTTGGGAAATGAAGTGCCAGGGCCCAAGTAATGATGACAGGGTAAGAAGGGATCCTCAGGCCCTTTAAAAATGACCCTGTAGGCACCAGTCCTTGGGGTGCCACCTCCCTCTTCCATGGGTCTGAGGCCTTACCTCTGTGTAAGATGACTGGGTCCGACACATTCATGGAAATGAGGCTRTACAAAGTGAGGAGGCAGAGAAGGCCTGAGGCCACTGGAAAGATGAAGTCTCCATTTTAGGCCAGTGCTCAGCATCTGAAATCAGGACCAGAGTCAGTTYTAGTCCCAGAGCCCCCATGAGKCCCTGCTCACCTGAGGTCAGACTCACACACCTTAAGGGCAGATCTGAATATCCCAGCTAGAGACACACCCCATTCCCTCCACCAAATGTCACCAGCATTCCCAGCCTCCCATAGTTCCCTAAAAGCCTCAGGCTCTCCACATCTCTGTGCTTTTAACTAAATATCCTCCTTCCCCTCCTGACCTCCCTCCACTTCCATGCCTCTGCACTCTCACTGTCTATTTCCCATCTGTCTCTTGRTGAGAAACCYGACAGCTGGCATGGAGACTCACGGGAAAGTGAAGAACACTGTGCTCAGAGAGACCAGTGCTGCCATAGTCAAACAAGCCCAAAGGCTTGAGAATAGCCAGGATCTGGCTGGGGGTGTGGGTGGGGACAAAAAACCATTTGAAGCAGTCATGCTCTGATGCCTGTTCTCAAACAAATGAGAGCCAACCACTCCTTCTCATGGCTTGGCACCCAGAGTACCATGACTACAAGTGTGACATCAGAGAGATTCCAGAATGGGGGCTCTGGCTGCTTCCAGTGCCCTCTGAGAGCAACCCTCCTCTGCCCTCACATACACACCTGTAGACTGGGACATCCTGCTCTTACAATGGTGGCTTTGTTGGAGCTTGTGAGGATGGGATGTGGTTTGTCCCCCAAAGGTTCATAGGCTTGAGGCTTGGTCCTTGGTGTGACAGCACCTGCAAAAGATGGGGCCTAGTAGGAGGTAATTTGGCGACTGGGGATAAGGCCCTTAGAAGGGACCAATGAACTTCTCATGGTCCTCCATTACTTCCTGTGAGAGGGGGTTGTTATAAAAAGAATGAGACTTATCCCTCCCCGGTTTCTGGCCCTGCAGTCTCTACCTATTGCACGTCCTCCCACCATGATGCCATTCACCATGTTGTGATCACTCTCACCAAAGTTCAGTCATAATGGCTGCCAGTTGTTGGACTCTGAGCTAAATAAACCTCATCTCTTTATAAAGTACCCATTCTTGGGTATTTTGTTAGATCCAGAGAATGCAGGCTAATACAGAGACCATGTAATATGGTTCCTGGGGAGATGGCATGGGAGAARTTTGGTGATAGTTATCCCCCTTTCAGGCCARGCRCTAATTGAAGCAGACAGTGCTCATTGCTCATCCTATCTTTCTTTCTTTTTCTTTTAACAGAGTTCCAATTTGGGGAAGGAGGTATTAATTTATACAACTAAATAACTTCCCAGTTTCCCTCATTTCCAGGGTGGGTTTTATGACACAATTCTGTCTCAAAATAAAAAATAAAATGTGTTGGGGATGTGACTCAATGGTTAAGCAATCCTGGGTTCAATCCCTGATGATGATGATGATGATGATGATGATGATGATRACTTGTACATGTTTATGGCATACAACATATTTTGAACCATGTATACACTGAAGAATGGCTGAGTCAAACTATTGAACATATACATTACTCTCAWATACTTATTTGTGGTGAGAACCCTTAAAATCTACTGTCTCAGTCATTTTCAAGTGTATAAAACATTATCAACTGTAGTCATTCTGTTGTATGTTGTATGTTGTTATTATTTTGCACAGTAGATCCTTTAAACTCATCCCTCCCATCTAAGTGTAATTTGGTCTCCTGTGACCAACATCTCTCCAGACCACAGCCAAGCCATCCCTGGATGCCTGGCAGAGACTATTCAGCTATCTATTTCTTTTTTTTATGTTTTTGAAATAAATGACAACAGAATGCACTACACTTCATGTTATACATCTAGAACACAATTTTTCATACCTCTGGTTCTATACATAGTATGTTCACACCAATTCTTGTCTTCATACATGTACATTAGATAATGATGTCTATTGCATTCCACCATCATTGCTAAACCTATGCCCCCTCCCTTCCTGTCCCATTGTCTCTTCCTCCCATGCTCCCCCTCCCTACCCAACTATGAGTCAGTCACCTTATATCAGAGAAAATATTCAGCATTTGYTTTTTTGGGATTGGCTCACTTCACTTAGCATTACCTTCTCCAACTCCACCCATTTATCTGCAAATGCCATGATTGTATTCTCTTTTATTGCATTGTGTATATATGCCACTTTTTAAAACCATTGTTTACTGAAGGGCATCTAGTTTGATTCCACAGTTTAGCTATTGTGAATTGAGCTGCTATAAACACTGATGTGGCTGTGTCCCTGTAACATACTACTTTTAAGTCTTTTGGGTATAGACCAAGCAGTAGGATAGCATGGTCAAATGGTAGTTCCATTCCAAGTTTTCTAAAAAAAAATCTCCATACTGCATTCCAGATTGGTTGCACCAATTTGCAATCCCACCAGYAATGAATGAGTGTGCCTTTCCCCTCACATCCTCACCAAAATTGTCTGTATTCTTGATAACTGCCATTCTGACTGGCATGTGATGAAATCTTAGAATATGTTTGATTTGAATTTCTCTAAATCATAGAGATGTTGAACATTTTTTGTATATTTGTTGCTTGAATGTATCTAAATCAAATGCATTTCTACTTCTCAGTGATGAATCCTCTGAAATAGGATTCACAATAGCCTCAAATAAAATAAAATATTTGGGAATCAACTTTACAAAAGAGATGACAGACCTCTAAAATAAAAACTGTGTAACACTAAAGAAAGGAATTGAATAAGATTTTAGAAGATGGAYAGATCTCCCATGCTCTTGGATAGGCAAAATTAATAATGTCAAAATGGCAATACTACCCAAATTGCTATAGAGATTCAAAGTGATTCCAATTAAAATCCCATCATCATTTCTTTTGGTAATAGAAAAAGCAATCATGAAATTCATTTGGATRAATAAGAGACCCARAATAGCAAAAGCAATCCTTAGCAACAAGATTGAAGCAGGAGGCATCACAATACCAGGCCTTCAACTATACTACAAAGCTACAGGAACAAAAATGGCATGGTATTGGCACCAAAATAGACAGGTAGACCAATGGTACAGAATAGAAGACACAGAAACAAACCTACATAAATACRGTAATCTCATAGTAGACAAAGGTGCCAAAAACATACTTTGGAGAAAAGATTGCCTATTCAACAAATGRTGCTGGGAGAACTGGATATCCATATGCAACAAAATGAAAATAAACCCCTCTCTCTCACCATGCACAGTACTCAATTCAAAGTGGATCAAGGACCTAGGAATTAGACCAGAGACCCTGCACCTAATAGAGAAAAAACTTGGCCCAAATCTCCATCGTGTCGATTAGGACTTAACTTCCTTAACAAGACTCCTAAAGTGCAAGAACTAAATTCAAGAATCAATAAATGGGATGGTCTCAAACTAAAAAGCTTCTTCTCAGCAAAAGAAACAATGAGGTGAAGAGGGAACCTACAACTTGGGAGCCAATATTTGCCACACACATGTCAGATAGAGCACTAATCTCCAGGATATATAAAGATCTCAAAAACCTTAACACCAAAAACAAACAAGCAAACAGCCTGAGGATTCATTGGACCAAATCCTTCCTACTACCACACTTTTTATTTATTTATTAATTTATTTTGTCTTTCTGCAACAGAAATACTTCTTTGAAAGTGGGAGTCCATGCTATACATTTAGCTTCTTCCTTCCTCCTATAAGGCATATGGCAACTCTGGAATCTGGCCCAGYCAGTGTACACTCCCTGCTATTTTAATAATAGACAATTATTTCTAAATATTACAAATATTACTAATGTTCATAAGTTGGCACATGATCCAAGCAGAGCCAAACTGTTTTCACCAAATCATTTCACTGAGCTTATTCAGATATCAGCCTAGAGCTCCTGATAGCCCCTTTTCCATAAGACAGGAAAAGTCTACTGGAGGATAAAATCACAGAAGGGGGAGGCAGGTGATGGGGAGATGAGGATAAATAAATGTGTTGTTGATCATGTCCTTTGGACCCTTGAATCCAATCAAGTCTTCAACCAGTTGCACCCTTCCAGACTTTCTAGTTATAGGAATCAGCTAGTTATCAACTCACTAGTTATGTGAATTGATACACCCCTTCCTCATTGGTCACACTACTTTGATTTTCTATGACTTGCAATTGCTAGGGTTCTGATACCAAGTGCACTGGGTGGGGTGTGGGGAAGGATGGTGGGACTAGCCTCTGTACAAGCTCATGGCCAACACATGCCCAGCATAGGGCCCAGCATGCCCCTGGTGTGCTGCTAAGTGGGCTTAAAGAACCACCTACACGGTGAAGCTGGTTGGTAATATAGAATCTCAGAGGCTGGTCTGACCCTTTATCCATGGATGGGAAGCAGGTCCTGCCTGGGTGATCTGGCAGCATCCCCTCTCTGCCCGCTGTTTTCTGTGGAGCATTTCGTTTTAGCTTGGAGAGTCAGCTGAACAGGGCAGCTCTAAGATGAAAGGGTGAACCCAACACCACTTCTGGAAAAGCAGCTACTTCCCCATTCTCCCCAGACCCTGAGCCTCAGGAAGGTGGACTCCCAACTCCAGCCGACCCTTTCAGAGTTCCCTAAGTTCCAGAAACTATTTTCAATAATTAACTGAGAGGACATAAAAGAAATTGCAGGATATCAAGTAACAGAACCTTAGAAAGCATCCAGCTGGGGAAGTGTCCCAGCTCCAGTTGCAGTAACAAAGTGCCACAGGCGGGGTTTATTAAACCACAGAAGCTTAACAAATAATCAGACAGGGTTAAAAAATGAGGGGGATTTCTTTTAACACAGTTCTGAAGGGTGGAAATCTGAGGTCAAAGGGCCTGAGCCTCTCCTCAGCTTCAGATGGGCTGCCTTCTCCCTAGGTTGTGGGGACACAGGCCCATGTGTACATGTTTCCTCTTCTTACCAGTGCCCATCACATTAGATTAGGGCCCATCCTATCTGCTTCTTTTAACCTCTTTAGAGGCCCATCTCCAATTACAGCCACACTCTGAGGATCTGGGGGTCAGGGCTTCAACATGTGAATTTGGGGAACACACATTCCATCCCATAACAGGAAGGGGAGTTTGTCCTTTTCTCCTGGTTACTGCTCCTCCTCCTCTCTTCCTTTGGCTCACTGTGGTTTCTGACCTCCCAGGACAGGCACCCTTCTGAGGTGGTTTTCCTTGGTGCTGTTCAGAGGGTGCTTCCACCCCTCACTGTCCCTGCTCATCAATGTCCTTCTTGCCTCAGGCACAAGGAACTGATCATACCTCCAGCTCCTCCCTGTTGAAGCCAGTTCACCCTATACAGGCCTATCCCTTGATTAGGGTGCTTCTCACTGATTAGAACAAATTTTAAAAAAAAGATGCCTGTGGAACACAAACTCAAGGTGATGACAGCCGAGTCTGTGGGCTCAGGCAGCAAAAGGCCACAGATGGAATCTGGGTATAGGTGAGAGCTGAGTATAGATAATTGCAGATGCAGAATTGGGCACAGATGCATTGAGAGCAGGTGGCTGCAAGGACAAGAGTGGAGACAGTGTGTGCCCCACTGGCCTGACAGACTGTTCATGCCAAATAACAGAATTTACTTAACCTAGTCTAGAACAGAGAGTGTTTGCAGAGAAACATCCCTTCTTTTTAACCTGAAGGCATGCAAGCCCAAGGATAATAGCTGAAATCTCACTGATGCATATTATGTG